TGGGGCTGGGGCTGGGGTTGGGGTGGGAGCTGGCGCAGGAGCGGGGGCCTGGGCACGGCCTGAACTAGGCAGAGGAGCTTTGCTGCCAGGATGGTAGTCGTGGGTGGCCTTGGGCTCATTGGTGTGGTAGGAGCCCTTGTATCGATGATTTTGCAGGTAGAAGAGCACCAACATTCCCACCAGCCCCAGCAGAAGGAAGGCCACCAAAACTGAAAGAAAGAAAAACAGGGACAGTTCAGAGGAGGTCTTTGGGGTTTCACCTGCACAGACCCTCACATACACATATACTTTTGTCCGAAGGAGTACGTGTATGGACTCAGCTGTCAGCCTCATCAGGCTACTCCTGCCTAGTTGGAGAGTTCCCGGCTCATCCCTGCTGACTTCTGTTTCTAATACTCTCTTTCCACATCCCTGGTAATGACCCCAACTTAGCTCTCCAGATGTTATTGTACCCCCATTTCCTCATCCATTGGCTATAGCCTCCCTTTATTTTTTTTTTTAGGTTTTTGCCATAGGGCATATGCATTCACCAGAGACCGAGAAAGTGAAAAATCACCCCCATGTGGGATGGCCACACCACAATCCCTTTTCCATTCACTTCTTGGGGTTTTGGCATGCACACCCAGGTGCCTGGCATATCAAGCCGCCAACTCCAGGACTCTAACCACAGTTGACCATGTGAGAATCCAGTGCTTTAGCCACCACATCACTGGCCCCACTATAGATTCATTTTAATATTTCATTTCAATTGGGACCTGCAGATGGTGTAATGGCTACATCGCTGGACTCCTGTGTGGTTGACCATGGTTTGAGTCCTGGATCTGGCAGCCTAGAACACCAGGCACGTGTGCATGCATGTCCAAAATATCAAGAGGAGAATGGAGGAGAAGGGATTGTGGTGTAGCCATCCATCTGGAGGGTGATTTCTTCCTTTCTGTCTCTCTAGTGAGCACACACACCCTATAGTAAAAATCTCTTTAAAACAAAATTCAATTAAAAATTTATAGCATCCTTGGGACCAGCAGTTGGTGTAATGGCTGTGTCGCTGGACTCCCATGTAGCTGACTGTGGTTCAAGTCCTGGACCCAGTGACCTAAACTCACGCCGGGCACATGTGCATGCGTGCCCAAGATCCTGAGAGGAGAATGAAGAAGAAGAAGAAGGGATTAAGGTATGGCCATCCCTCCTGTGGGGTGATTTCTCTTTCTGTCTCTCTGTCTCTCTCTGTCTTTCTGGTGAGTGCACGTGCCCTATACAAAAACCTCTCCAAAAAAAAAATTTTATAGCATCCAAAAAATCTCAAGTCCTGGGCCAGCAGGTGGCATGGTGGTTAAATTGCTAGAATTCCCACATGGCCACCATGGTTTAGTCCCAGACCTCACCCTCTCTCTCTCTCTCTCCCTCTCTCTCTCTCTCTGCCTTTCTCTGGCAAAACTCATGTGAAAAATAATGTTAACAGTAATAATAATAAATAATTCTTTTAAAAAAATACTCAAGTCTCACCTCCCCCCAAAATAATGAAGGACAGGCAATGGCACAATGATAGCATAGCTGGACTCATGGCTAAGTTCCTGGGTTCATGTCCTGGGCCTCCCTGAGCACACAAGCACCTGCATGTGAGCCAGCTGAGATTAGGGGTACAGCACAGCATAAGGACCCTGCTGGGGGTGCCTGTCTCTGTTTAGTCCCTCTCACTCTCATGGAAAGAAAGAAAGAACTTAAAATTTTCCAGCCCAATTATATACTATTTTCAGACTATCTCAGCCTTCTTTGTGCTGTCCTGCATCTGGTACCATCACCACGCCTCAGCCTTGGGCATAGGGCAGGGAAGGAACACTGACAGACAGACAGAAGGTCATCTAGGAAGATCAGGGTAGTGATCAGTGTTACTCACAGCCTAAAAGTATGGCGACCCATCCATCATCATGGTAGTATGGGAAGTCTGAAGAAGAGAAGCACCAGTCAGGAGATACCTTCCTCGTGTAGAGAACCCTTTCCCATCCCTGTCACTCCAACCTCCCCCTTCCTTGTCCCAGGACTATACCTGGGGGCAGATACCAGGGATCCAGCTCAGGTGGCACCTCCGCGAAGAGACGTGGCATAGCGCCGCAGTTAGATTCAGACAGTTCTCCCTGAACTCGAAGGGCCTCAGCCAGCTCAGCGGTCATGGGTCGGGGTGTTCGGAAGTGGGTCTTGAGGGGAGCCACGTTGTTGAATCGAACCCCAGACAGGCAGCCTGAGAAACCTGGGGTGTTGTAGCGCTGGATCTCTGGGTCAATGATTCCCGTCTCTGAGAGAGAAGCAGGCCTAGAATGAGGCTGGGATCACCCAAAGACCCTGCCCCTCACATCAGCCATAGGTTCCCCTCCCATCTCTCTCACCATCCCCCCCTGCCACTTCTAGTCGTTCACTAGCCTCTAGGGCCCAGGGACTTCCCCTACAACCCCGGCCCAAAACTCCTCTCCACCCACTGCTTACCCATCACGCGCCCTAGATACAAGGCCTTGGGTGAGTCCAGCTGGCTGTCCACCAACAGTGAGAACTTCTGCTCTGTCAGCGGGAAGTAGTCCACCTGATGGGGAGAGGCCATGAGGAAGGGAGGCCAGAGGCTGCACTGCCAAGACCACGCAGGAATTTGCTCTGCCCAAACTGGTGGTTCAGCTGCATGAGTCCTCCCTCAACCTGAAGTGATAACCCCTGGACCCGGATGTAGGATTTGGTGGTATGTGTTAAACACACCCGGTTGGGGGAGCCAGCAGATGGCGTAGCTATTATGTCACTGGACTCCCACATGGCTGGCCTCAATTTGAGTCCTGGACCCAGCAGCTTGAAACTCCTGCCAGGCATGTGAATTCCCAGGAAGAGAAGGGATTGCACCCGGAGGTCGATTTCTCTCTCTACCCTCTCACTGCCTCTGTCTCTTTCCAGTGAGCTCATGCTCCCCAAGGCAAACACCTCTACAAAAACAAAAACAAAACAAACAAACAAAAAAACACACACTGGTGCATTGGAGCAGCAGGTGGCATGGTGGTTAAGGTGCTAGACTCCCACATATTCAACTACAGTTCCAGTCCTAGACCTGGCTTTAAAATCACACCAGGCACTTGTGTGCTCAAAATCCCCAGAGAGAAGAGGAGAAGGGATTGCAGTGTGATCATTCTCTCTGGGAGATGATTTCTCACCTTCCCTCTGTCTGTCTCTCCAGTGAGCACACATACCTTAGGACAAAAAATAAAATAAAAAGACTAGAGAAAGAACTGGCTATCCCCCCCCAGAGGGGATTTCTCTCTCTCTCTCTCTCTCTCTTTCTCTGGTGGGTACACATGCCTTTTAGCAAAAACTTAAAAACAAACAACAGGGATGGTAGGTGGTGTCTGTGGTGGCTGAGGTGCTAGATTCCCACATAGCTGACCACAGTTTGAGTCCTGGACTCAGCTTTCTCAGTTTTCCGTTTTTCTCTCTCTAGTCAAATTTAAAAATAATGGGACTGGGGGCCAGCAGGTGGCATGGTGGTTAAGGGTGCTGGACTCCCACATGGCTGGCTATGGTTCGAATCCTGGATCTGGTAGCTTGCTTGCTTTCTCACTTTTTTTCTCTCTCTCTCTCTCTCTCTCTGACCCTCTCTGGTCAAAATTAATGAATTAATTAATTAAAATAGAAAAATTATTTTAAAATAAATAAATAAATAAAAATAATGGGACCAGGACCAGCAGATGGTGTAACAGTTATGTCTCTGGACTCCTGGGTAGTCAACCATGGCTAGAGTCCCAGACCTGGCAGCTTAAAACACACTGGGTGCATGTGTGTGCATGCCCAAAATCCCAAAAGGAGAATGGAGGAGAAGGGACTGCAGCATGGCCATCCTCCCTGCGGTGTTTGTGTGAGGGTGATTTCTCACTGTCCCTCTTCCTATGTCTCTCAAGTAGGTGCATGCACCCTATAGAAAAAAAGAGGAAGAGAGACTAAAGGAGCAGGGACTGCAGCATGGTCATCCCCACTTGGGGATGGTTTTTCACTTTCCCTGTCTCTCTCTGGTGAGTGTATGTAGCCTATAGCAAAAACTTACCCCCCCCAAAAAAAAAAAAAAAAAAAAAAGACAGCAGGGGGTGAAAAAACAGGCCAGCAGGTGGTGTAGTGATTAAGGCACTGGACTTCCACATGGGTGACCATAGTTTGAGTCCCAGACCTGCTGGTTTGCTTTCTCACTTTCCCTCTCTTTTTCTCCCTGTCTCTGGTGAGTACACATGCCCTGTAGTAAATTTAAAAATAATAATAATGATAAATAAAGTTATACATGTTTTTAAAATAATAAAAATGAAAAACAAACATTAAAAAAATACCTGGTGGGCTGGCCTCACAGTTCAGTGATTGAGAGAGCTAAAGAGCCTAGATGGCTGACCACGGTTCAAATCCTCACCCTGGTGACTGGAAAAACATGTCGGGCACATGTGTATGAATGCCCAAAATCCTGATGCAAAGGAGCAACAGAGGAGAAAGGATTGCAGTGTGATCACACTCCTTTGGCGAATGATTTCTCTCGCTCTTTGGTGAGTGCATGCACCCTCGGGCAATCAAAGAAAAAATCAACCCAGTTTGGGGCAAGTGGTAATACAGCGGTAATGGAACTGGACCCACACAGGAAAGATCCTGGGTTCATGTCCTCTGATCTCCCTGGACACAGCAATGATCCAAGCCACCTGGGACTGGGGGTGGATTGCGGCATCCCTGTTGGGGATGCGTGTATCTCTGTTTGTCTCTCTCATGGAAGAAATACATAATTTAAAATTTAAAAGGAACCAGCAGTTAGCGTAATGACTATGTCGCTGGACTCCCACATAGTCAACTGCAGTTCGCGTCCCAGACCCGGTGGCTTAAAACTCACGCCGGGCACGTGTGCGTGCGTGCCCAAGATCCCAAGAGGAGAATGGAGAAGAGATTGCTTCGTGACCATCCCCCCTGGGGGGTGATTTCTCGCTTTCTGTCTCTATGTCTTCCTCTGTCTGTCTGGAGAGCGCACGCGCCCTATAGCAAAAATCTCTCCAAAAAAAAAAAAAAAAAAAAAAAGGAGCCCTGTTTTTGCAGCTTACCAGTGGTTTGCCTTTAGGAAAACCACTTTACTTTTTGAACCTATTTACCGGCTTATAAGCAGAAATAATAACATCTCCTTGGGGCTGGCAGGTGGTATACTGGTTAGGGTGCTGGACTTACACATTGAAGACTGTGGTTCAAGTGGTTCAAGTCCCAGACCTGATAGCTTGCTTTCTCGCTTTTCTCTCTCTCTCTACATGCGTGTGTGTGTGTGTGGGTGGGTGTATGTGTCTGAGGAGTGCACATGTCATGTAGCAAATTAAAAAATATGTATAATAAGTAACTTTCTAAAAATATATATTTAATTAATTTTATTTATTTGTTATTATTCTTCAATTGACCAAAGAAGGGGAGAGAGAGAGTGAGAAAGCAAGCCACCAGGTCTGGGACACGAACCACAGTCGGCCATGTGGGAAACCAATGCTTTAATCATCATGCCACCTGCTGGCCCTTTAAAATTCAATAATTCTTAAAAAGATATAAAAAGAACACCTGCTGGCCTGAAGGGTACCTCACAGCAGTTGTGGGGGCCCTGGGAAAACCCCTGCACGTTGATATGTGCTCCTACACATGGTAAGAGTTGACATTTTCCTGGGTGTCACAGCCAGGGGTGGGGGGCCACGACCTGTACGGGTCACCCCCCTCCATGGTACCTGGATGAAGAGGTTGCGGTAGACCCGGGTGACGTTGACACTGTGCGGCTGGCCGTCGGTGACTGGTCGCGTGGTGAGCTGGTACACATAGGGACTGGTGCCCAGCTGATAGCGCAGTTGCAGGGTTCCTGTGGTGGGGATACGGGTTCCCCCCTCAGCTCCTCAGCGCTTGGGTCCTTGGATGAGCGCATCAGTGGTTGCGATGCGAATTAAGGGCGCGTGGGGGCAGCGGGCGCCGGGGCAGAGCTGTCGCTGTGGGGAGCTGCTGCGGAGAGCCGCGGGGAGCGGGGAGCGGGGAGCGTACCGTCCTCCTTAATGAGCACCGCCATGTAGTCCCGCACGAAAGAGCTGACGTAGAGCAGGACGGCGGGGGCGGAGCTGGTGCTGAAGCTGAAGGACACCTCCTCTCCCGTGACGTTGTAGACAGGCCCTCGGTACCCGGGCACCGGCCGGCCAGGGCGGGGG